AACAAGGGGAATGACTCGGGAATAAACTTTTAATCCCTAAAACATCATTCATGGTACCACGAGGAAGTGTTTTTAAAAGTTGCTTTTACAACTGAACTCTTAAAAAGCAAAATTAAACACACAAAAAAGACTCAGATTTTAACAGACTCAAAGGATATAGATGTCCACGAGCGTTGGAGGACGTGGGGCTTTAATTTGTAGAATTAGGTCGGCCTTTTTTTATTAATTCAGAGTATAAGCTACAGAGAATCAATGAATGGATAGTATGTTGTGAAGCTACACTGTGCTCCTGTGACTCTAAAGCAGCGCTGCGCCTTTAAATATGTGCGCTCCTCCCTCTCCTCAGTGACAAGCCCGCAGAGCCTCTTTAACGCATCCAGTGGAAATGACAAACCAGAGGCGCACCACGGGCCAAGCATGTCCAGTAATAACAATAAGCATGGGCTTTAGCATCATCGGCTCACCCGGCTCTCACATCCCGAGAGAGTAACGAGGTTCATTTGGGCCGTTTCGTCGCTCTGCGGACGCGTCAAAGTTGGAGCGAGCTCACCGAATGGACGGTCGATGGACTGGAGTCAAACCTCCGCTTCAATCGGACTGAAGGAAAGAGGGAAAGAAACCTCTGCATGTTCAAGTTTCCTGCTCCCACCGGAGGGGCATCGCTGCGTGTGTGTTGGATGTGTGTGCGCGCGTGTGGAAGTGTGTGTTGGGTGCGTTGCGCCCTCAGGATCAGCGGCAGGAGCAGCGGTGGCGTTGGTGGTGGTGGCCGCGGGAAGGGAAGTTTAGCGCCGTGATTTTTTTTTTCTTCTTTTTTTTTTCTTTTCCTTTCCTCTGTTCTGTTGTGTTGTTCTCATGTCACAGCAGGCGACGGGGGGATTAACGTTTCACTGATGAGAATTAATCACTCGTGGGGATGCTCTGTGATCGTGACTATGACGATGATGTCGAGTAAGAGCGTGGAGTGGCTGCAGGAGGAGCTGGAGTCCGGGGCCAGCTCTCTGCTGTTGCTGGACTGCAGACCCCATGAGCTGTACGAGTCCTCGCACATCGAGTCGGCCATCAACCTGGCCATCCCGGGCCTCATGCTCCGGAGACTGAAAAAGGGGAACCTCCCCATTCGCTCCATCATCCCCAACAACGAGGACAAGGAGAAATTTGTAAAGAGGTGCAAGACGGACGTGGTGGTGCTGTACGACGAGGCGACCTCGGAGCGGCAGGAGTCCGGGCTGGGAAGCTCCGTGCTTGGGCTGCTCCTGCAGAAGCTCCGGGACGACGGGTGCAAGGCTTTTTATCTAGAGGGTAAGATCAGATTGCTTTGAATCTAGAGGTTTTGTTTGGGTTGTGGTGCATTGGTGCCTTTTAATATATAAAACTCTCACACTACTTCCTCTCAAAGTGGACTGCAGCAAATTGCTTGAATTTCGCTCTGATTTGATTAACTTAGACAGTCCCAGATGAACTGGACTAGTGTTGTTGTAGTGTCACTCACTGCAATTAATGGGAAAGAAAGCGAGTGTAAATCACACTGATTTATCAGACCTGGGATGCTGCACTTAAACGCCGCACTAAGTGAATTTGGTGTTTTGGGGGGTCGTGGCACGCCTGGAACAGATTGTCTTTTAAGGCAGATTTTATCTGGTGGAGTCACATAGCTAAGCTTGAACAAGCCACTCCTATCAGTAGCTTATAAAACATTATTGCATCGATAAAGTGTTTGTAGGGGGGATTTGAAGGGGGGTTAAAATGTGGCGCCACTTCAGATAAATCCAGCTGTTCTCATCTGTACACACACACACACACACACACACACACACACACACACACACACACACACACACAGTTGATCAACACTGAATGAGTTCCGCATATTAAAATAAAGTGTCACTGTTACAAAATCAGGCGGTGTGTAACAAATCGGATCCAGTGTCAGAATGAAGTAGCTGTTCGACAGATGTTTCCTGCTTCCGACCAAAATCATCGCTTTTATTTTTACTTATTTATTGATTGATTCGCAAAGCGTGGAAATTATTTAGGAAGAAGAAAAGCGTCAACAACGCCTTGTAATTTCATCGAGTGCTTTAAAAAAAGAAAGAAGAAGCAGTTTCAAATGCAGCGTGTTTTCAATTAAACGCTGCAAGTACACGCCCCGCCATATTGAGCTCCTTCAGGAAAAGACGAGCGGTTTTTTTTTCATGAATGAACACTGAAACCAGGACACGACGACGGGCTACGAAAAATCCCACAGAAAAAAGCCGACATTGTTTTAAAAAAAAGACAGTTGAAAGGCGATGAAATGAGGTGTTATAACCATAGCAGAGAGGTATTTAACCACGAGAAAATAGAAATCTTTGACGGGAGTCACGAGCCTCGAGCTGCCATTCACAAAAAGTCCGCTGAGCTGTGTAGTGTTGTAGCTGACTGTCCTGCTCAGCTTTTTCTCAATGGAGCCACATCTGTCTACACTGTTCCCCCCTCTCTCTCAGACTGACGTAAATACCAACTTATTATAATTTATCTGTCACGGGTGTGTGTGAAAATATGCCGTGGATCTAATAAAAGCGTTTTTACACACGTAGAATATCACGTGCAATTCAAAGTTTAATACCGCCTCTGATATCTGAAGCAACTGTAATAAAAAAAAGAGTGAAGAGATTTTCTTCATTTGGCCAATTTTAGCACCAAATTTTTCTCAGATTATTTGGACTCAGTGTTAATTTCTTCATATCCAGGCTCATGTTAAATGACTCATACCTCCTGCCTTTGGTTATGCACAAGTTTTAAACCCCCCTCCTCTCCTCCCAGTGAAATTGCTTTCTTGGCTTTATACTAACATGTTTTGTTTTTGCTTGTTTTTCCTTTGTCTTCATCATGCTCCAGGAGGCTTCAACAAGTTCCAGTCAGAGTACCCAGAGCACTGCGAGATCAATTTGGACTGCTCCTGTCCCAGCAGCTCCCCACCAGCCTCCGTCCTCGGTCTCGGAGGGCTCCGCATCAGCTCCGACTGCTCAGATGGGGAATCGGACCGCGAGCCGGGCAGCGCCACAGAGTCGGAGGGCAGTCCGCTCCCCAACAACCAGCCAGCGTTCCCCGTCCAGATCCTGCCCTACCTTTACCTGGGCTGTGCCAAAGACTCCGCCAACCTGGATGTGCTCAGCAAGTACAATATCAAGTACATCCTGAACGTGACGCCCAACCTGCCCAACATGTTTGAACACGAAGGGGACTTCAAGTACAAACAGATTCCCATCTCCGATCACTGGAGCCAAAACCTCTCTCAGTTTTTCCCTGAGGCCATTTCTTTCATAGGTGAGTGGAGAATGCTGTGCAGTTGTCTCAGATATCCGTCAGGTTATTTTAGACAAATGTGTTTTTGGGTCAGGGCAGGGATCTGAAGAAGTTAAATTCATTATCAATCAGTGTGCTGGTTGGGCCCAAGGTCTCATATTTAAGAGGCATGTTTTGTCAATCACAGTCCAAAATCCTCATATTAGATTGTATAATAAATTAGAGCCAAAAAACAAAGCACTGTATGAAAGTATGTCAATGGATGAATGTGAAAAAGAAAGAAAAAACAAAACAAAACAGGGCTTTAAGTGCTCAATTAGAGTCACAGAGTTACAAAAGTGCTATTTAAGTACTAGTCCATTTAGTGCCGTTATTATCTGCTCTTTATTAGTCACTCTCGCTGCATTTATCCAAGATTTTAATCATAAGTCGTGCATATAAATAGCTTCTTTGGAAACAGTTTAAGATGGATGTTAGCGTGGTTTTGCTAAGCCTGCATTTCACCGTGATTGATAAAACAGGAATTTAAAATCGTAGAATGAAAAGGCAACTCTGTGAATAAAACATGGAAATGGATTCTTTGAGAATGAGGTCACGCAGAAGAGTTCTCATCTCATCCCATTTTCAGTGTTTCCCATCATTCCCGTCATTCCTTCTCACTTAATTTTTAGAGAATGAGTGAATTCCCTCGCCGATGAGTCAGTGCTAAAGTCTTCATGCATGTCTTAGATTGTCCAGACCACCGACTCTACCCCCCGCCCCTTTTGTTTTCCTTTAGAGTAATGATTCATTGTAGGTGGCAGGAAGTGAGACATATGCCAGAGCCAGAGGTCGTGGCAGATTTGGGTCACGCTGATGTTAAATGGAGCTGGCTGTAATAAGCAGGGATTACAGCAGATCTTTTTTTGTAAATAACGGGGTAATTATGGGTGAAGGAGATGCCGATATGACTTCACACTGCGCTGCTGAAAGTTGCAGTCCCTTAAATGCCTAAAATTATTGTTTGTACGTGCTTTTTCTTTTGTGAAAGCAAGAATGCAGATGGGGAGGGAGTTGAAGTTTCTTGCATAAATGAAAATCCTTACGTTACTGCACATGCAAAGAACGAGTAAAGTGACGTAATCAGTTAAAGCCCGTTACTTATTCGACTTCCGAGGCTTCTCGAGTTGGTTTTTGACTCGTCGGGCAAGGATTTCTGCCCCTGTCTTCGTTGCGGAAAGCGAGCGCACATCACATATAAATTTAATTTTGCATCGCCTTGGCAGCCTGAGCTCATGAGCCGACTGACCCCAATCCTACAACAAGAGACGTTGGCAGCGAGAGATGAAAGAGAGAGGGAGAAAAGAAAGGAAGGAACGGAGCACTTAACTCTCACTCTAATGGCCTGTAGAGATGCGAGTGCAAGGGCTCGAAACTGATAGGTGGATGGATGTAACCAGTTAATAATGTAAGATGCTTTTTCTGTTCAGGTTTTCCTACAGACCGAGAGCTAGAAAGCAGAATGAAAAATTACACTTTGCCGTCAGCGACAGAGGTCACTCTGGATTGAAAATATAATAATCGCAATGAGGCACTTCTGATTTTTCATTCTGGTTGTTCTAGGCTCACATCTACAGCTCATTTAGACCGACCACATAATCTAGCATGTGGTCACTTGCTGTAGGAGTAAATCAGAGTACCGGGGGAAAACCACAGGGTGAATATGCGAGAAGTTAAGTCACGGCAGCGTTAAATGATAAAAGCCAGTCTCGTTTGCAAATGTTGGTCATTTAATGACTTAAAAGTACCTCAGAAAGTAACTCAGTTTTCATGATAGCCACAGATTACTGTTTGTCAGTTCTCGCTATGACCACGTGATGTTATTCAAAAGTTTCTCTGCAAATTAAAGCACTGTGGGGCCACTTCCACTGCAGTATGACCCAGTATCAGGCAGGTTTTTGTTACTTGCTGATCTAGTAGAAATAGTGCCAGCTGAGCATTTGAACCTTCTCAAGTCCCGGAGCTCTCCAGTTAGCGAAAGCCTGTCTGAGGTACACTTGCTTCACTCTTTTGCCTTCTTTTCATCCTCAGGCGACGAGCTCTTTGGAAAGTCTGCGTTATAATATATAGAGAAAAACTTTTCCTTCTGATTCATTGATCTTTTTAATTCCCAGTGTTGAGAATGAAACACGGTCAGTAGTCATGTCTCTCATTCATGTTCTCATCTCCTTGTTCCCTCCTTCCTCCTCAGACGAGGCGCGCTCCAAAAAGTGTGGCATACTGGTCCACTGCCTGGCCGGGATCAGCCGCTCCGTCACCGTCACCGTGGCTTACCTGATGCAGAAGCTCAACCTGTCGCTCAATGACGCCTACGACTTTGTGAAGCGGAAAAAGTCAAACATTTCCCCGAACTTCAACTTCATGGGCCAGCTCCTTGACTTTGAGCGGACGCTAGGTCTCAACAGCCCCTGTGACAACCACTCGAACTCGCCGACGCACGACCAGCTCTTCTTCACCACCCCGACCAATCACAACGTGTTTCAACTGGACACCCTAGAATCCACATGAAAATGAGAGTCTCAGTTTCATGTGGATTGCCCCCATTGCAACTTACGAGGATTTGGGGTGGGGGGCATGGTGGTATGGTTACCATGTCTGCAAGTGGCTGCACTGCAGGAGAGCAGAGTTTTAATGAATGTTTTAGCCTCTTGAGGCTCGTTGTCCGAGATCCTGACCATGGAGCAGCGTTGACGTGTCAGGAGGAGTCATGGATGCCACGTTAAAGGGTTTTGGGGGGTTTTTCAACCCAGAGAAGGATGCTGTGGGTTAACAAAGCTGTTCTTCCTTAACAGCTTGTAAACGAAGAATGAGGGAGGTTTAACTTGACTGAGAAACTAAATGATTGCAGCAGGACAGAAAGCTTAATACAAAGATAGGAACACGGAAAATCTTTAGTGCTTGATTTATAAGATGACTGCATCCTCCTTGTCTCGGCTCTCGAGCCGAGGTGACTGGTGCCAAGTGGAAAAGCTGGGATTTACTCATAGGAAATCTCACTCTACTGAATGTAGAGTTTTTAAAAACCAAGGAATTAACTCTCACACACACACACACGATATAAACACAGTATGTATGTTTGTACTGTATGTATGTTAACGTACATAGCAGAAAATGTATGGGCAGTCCTTAACAAATTCAGTATGTCTATATGCATTTTTGTATATTTTCTATGTACATTTACGCACAGATCTATACCTTATATATAAATATATTTATCTCAAGCCATATAAATAATGGCTTAAGAGATTGTAAAATTAAAGTGGAATGGGTTTTTAGATGGTCTTTTTTTTTAAGTTTTGTTTTTTCTTTAGGTTTATGACCTAATGCAGTTTGCACAGTGGTGTAGCCATTGACTTTGTTGGCCTGTGCTGGAAGCAGTCAGATAAAGAGACATTCAGAGAAGAGGAGCGGAGAGGTCAGTCCCAGGCTGCGACGAGTCCTGACAGCTGCACGGCTCAGCGGGGAGGGAGCAAAAACTGGGCCCTGAGCAGAGGAGCAGGGATAGGGGTTAAAACAAGCAGCAGGCTGGAAGTAGGAATTGATTCACGGCTGGAGATGGGAGAAATTACTCCTGCGTGTTTGACACTTGGCCAACTGTTTTCGAGCGCATTTCCCAGTTCCTTCTTCCTTCCCTATATGACTGTTCATCCAGTTGTTTCAGTCAGCTGTTCTGAAGATTTTAATCATTTGTTTCGTTTCGGTCAAAAAGTCAGTTTCGGTCAAAGTTCCTCAGTTATTGATTTCATCAACACAGTTGTTCCACCAGCACGTTTTGCCAAAAAGGGTTACTCGGTTAGAGGTTACGGATCAGGGACAGGAAGTCAGTATTAACATTTCTGGGTCACTGAGGTACTTTTTGGGCAGATCAAATGTATAACCTGCACCCCAAAGTTTTGTTGGCCTATGTTAGCTTCTTGTGTGTTTCAGGACCGAGGGTGGGGGGTCGGGTCGGGGCTTTACTTTGGTCTTTGTGTTTGGATTCTGGTCTGGTTGACTGGGACTGGCTTCCGCTAGACTTCACTTACTTCAGCAGTTTCACGTCCCTTAACAGCGTTGGAGGAAATTGAGAGGAAAGGTCTTTCTAAAAACGAAAAAAAGAAGGGATCACTCGTTTTGTCAAAGAAAGCTTTGTCCGAGTTGATTCACCCTTAAGCCTTGGGTATATTATTATATGAAAGCTATATTAAACACAAATGAATATTAAACAGATCTTTATTATTTTGTATACCAGAGCATGCTGTGGTGCCGTATGCTCTCTAACAGTAGACTCAACCACAGGCTGGACGTTACTTTACCAGGTGGAAAGACAAATAATGAGGACCGTTTTATTTAACTGCTGTTGCTGCTGAACGCAGTGGCACACAGCATGTAGTCAAAGCGTTTTCTGAGACAGCGTCCACATCTGTAGCGCTTCAGCAAACCCGCAGTGATTTTTGAGAAAGACTCCAAACAACACCACGCTAACTGGACTTCTAGGTACACTGGGCCTCATGAAAGAACATTTTCTTCTTCGTCTTCTTCGTGCGCGGACGTGTTATAATTGCACAGCTGAGCCTTGTGAACACCACCTGTTAATCAGAAAGTCTGCTCCGTAAAGTTGAAACCCCCAAAGTTTACTTTTCTGTTCCAGCTTTCATGCTCAAAAATGTTCCTAGCAGAGGGTCACGCTGCGGAGATTAAAGTCTTGCTGCCGGAAATCAGCAGACAAAAAAACAACAAATATAGCAATGTCCGTAATTACAATCCCTGAGAAAAAAGAAGAGAAATAACCTGCTATTTGCAGCTGTAATCAGAGAGCTGTATGCTCCCAAAAAAACAAAAACACCCTGCTAAAGCAAAGCAGTCCAGGTGGTGTTCTGTGCCAGGTGTAGCAGGGGATATGTTTAGCTCGACAGGGACCAGTATAAAGATGCTGAGGCAGCTGTTGTTAGGAAACAGTGACCCCAAAAAGCTGGAGGTCATGTTCACTGCTTGCTCATGTATTGAACAGAAGTCTGATTTTACAAAATTGGAAATGTTGTGAAACCTCACAACCTGCAAACAGGTTGTTTTTCATATACTAGTGAATATGAAAAGATGAATACCGTGGAGATATGTGTCCAGCTTTAGGGCTAAGTGGTAGATGCTGAGGTTTGCTATCGATAGAGCACGCTGTCGGGTTAGAGTTAGAGATCTCCTCATACAAGGCGGTTTTTGCACGAGGTCCAGTGTTCACAGCAAACTGCGTATTCAAAGTCGGGATGTGGACGTTTGTCTAAACAGAAACCACGAACGGTGTTTTCTGCGAGCACAGCAGGGGAATCTGAAGAGGGTTGGTTTTAGCTGGCCTTATATAATCTTTCTAACTTGTTTCTAATGCTGACTGTTCAATACTCTTTGTATCTCACTTTGGAAAAAAGAATTGTGTGGAAAGAAGAAGAAAAGGTTTGTTATCTGTTATTGGAATAAGAGCACGGTAATAACAGAGTACAAGCTGTCTTTTTGCCGTAACGGGTCACACGAGGTCCTCTTTGTTACTCTGCAATATATCAAAACACCTTTTTTTGCAGTATTTTGTAGATCCAAGACCTCAACATTTTTAAATTCTCTTCTTTTTGTACTATATCTATTCTATATAATTCCACAAGATCCAGCTCGATTTATGGCTTATGGACTGAAGTAACATTTCTCCTGGGGTGTACAAAATATAGGGCCAGTGTGTCCAGTACAAACCTGAAAGACTTGCAGATTTAAAGACACACACACACACATACACAAACTGCTCCATACAGACAGAGCTGTGGTACAGCATGCCAGTTATGTTTCACAATAGGCCCTTACGCCAACCTGGCTTGAATAATTACAGTGATTAAGGTGTTTTTCCTTCTTGGTTTTGATATAATGTGCTCTATGCTATTCCTGTGGCCTTTCAATATGAATATACTTTATATATATATATGAGTTTATATGCAAAAGTTCCTCTCCTGGTATAGCATCAGAGATGAGAATACTACCACCATGCTTGAATGGACTTTCCTTGTCTGGAGTCATATCCCACATAGAATAGGAAAAACACAGAGGACTTGATCACTTGCACCCTGGGATTGAAATATATTTCAGAACAGAGCTTTTCTATTTAAAAAGAAACAATTGACTTCAAGCTGCTTTCTTGTGATTTTTTTCTTTCTTTCTTTCTTTCGCGTGCGTGCGTGTGTCTTTGTAACAATGAAAGAGAAATTAAGTGTTTTTCTCTGTTTGTAAATTTGCCAGATCACGGGAACGGCCGTTTCTGTGTCCTTAAACTTGTAGCTACATCTTGGTGAAATTGTGCTCTGGAGAGAAAGGTGTGAATGAGCGAGAGGAGGCGAGGAGCGAGGCGTGAAATACAAAGCGAAAGAAAAAGTGAATGATTTAAAAATGTTACCTCAATGAGGAAATTTTCAGGGATTTTTTTGACAATGCATCTTGCATCGTGTTACAGCTTCAAAGTCACGTTGAATAGCTGTTTTGTATTGTGCTGTAAACAGTTTTTGTTTTGTTTTTTTTAAAAAGATGCAATCTGTCTGTGTATAAAAAGAAGGGGCGTGTTAACTGGGGCAGTTTCACCTTTCTGTCAGTATATTGAATCAACACAAGACATGTTTATACCGCAAATAAATATTGAAATATTTTTTTTCTTTAACATGTTTCCTCTTTATTTCTGATCATCAAAAGTATATTAGAAATGACCTGTGAGTTACAGTGAATGAAGAACTAGGTCTATTTATTGTTCGCTTACACGGAACGTGTTGGTTTATTTTTGCACTAAGAAATTACTGATTACTGTTAGTAACTGGTTTAAATCTGAAGATTAAGACTTTTACCTTATACTCTACACCCTATCCGGTCGTTAAGTCTGACGTCACTGGCCGTGTCTGGGCCTAAACTCCGCTGCAGGTCCATATATCAAACGATCACTATGGCATTACTGAGAGTTGAAAAACTGTCTAAAGTCTTTCATCTTTAATAAAAATGATCAGCGTTCTGCTCTACCAGGTGAAACAATTGAGTTTAACATCCAGGCATCCATGAAAACGGAATTTATGACATTTAATGGAGTTAGAAGTTAGCTTGCTAGCTTCTATCTAAATACAATATAGCATGTCCTGACTGCGGGGTTTTGGAAACAAATTAAAACGTACAGCTCTGTTATCACTTCCACATAAATGAAGACAGAAACTAAACAGCAGTGACGTTGTAGGGTTACTGAAGTTTGGCTAGCTGGTATATAATGATGTGCTACGTGACCGCTAGCAACACGTATGTTAGCATAATATAACAAGCTAACTTTTTTTCCACTCGATAAAAGTTAACGTGAGTGTTCTCGGTGGTCAGGAACAAATGTAATCGCATGGCAGGATGCTGTAAAAGGACCAAACTTCAGCCAGGAGAACAACTGAGATAATCCATCCACAATACGAGGTTAGTCTTCATATACTGTTGCATGGGCTGGCTGTAGTTACATCCTAAGGTTTTAAAAACTGAGCTTAAATAAATGATTAGCGGTAATAAAAGCCGAGGGAGGTCAACAGTGATCACTGACTGTTTTAGGAACTTTTTGAGATTAAATAGAAGAAAATACAAAACATTAAACATGTTAACAACACAAAAGCCATATTAAACGCACACTACTTTAGGCCCGGAAGTAGGATTCGTCACGTCATCACTTAACGGCCGAATACCTTATAAATTCAAATTCAAATTTTATTTGTCACATACACAGTCATACACAGTACGATATGCAGTGAAATGCTTAGACAACTGCTCCTGACCTAAAATAAAAGACTATGAATAGGATAGGAAATAAATATGAAAATTAAAATAAAGGGTAAATTTAACTAGGAAAGAATAAAATAAAATATAAAAATTTAAGTTAAAAATAAAATAACTGTACAACAAAATACATATATTACATATAAACTATATGTAATTTATAGAGACTGAACCTAATGTTTACATTTTAAAGGTTCAGTATCTAAATTACACAAATTAAATTAATCAGAAAATCATTTGAAACTGATATAAAGCCTATATTCATCATGAAAAAGACAAAAAGTTTTCTGACGTTTTTCATGATGGATTGATAAATAGTCAAAGAATAACATATAAATAGTTTGTTTATCCCAGAATTAGCAAAATTCCTGTGTTAAAGCAACCTGTAACAAATTAACTAAACTAAAATAGCTCAGTAAAATCTAATATTTAAAGTAAGTAAAAGCAGTTGAACCAAGAATTTTTCCTTTTTTTATAACGCAAAACATGGGAATGACCTTTATCAACTTGTCGTGATAACAGACAGAGTAAGGGTTTAAGGATTTTGAGGTCGAGTCGGATGACCAAGGGGTGATGACTGGTTCACAAAAGGTGACAAGCAATAAATGTTATTGTGCTTTGTTGGCAAAAGTGGTTAATACTTCCAATTTAGGGAACAGGAAAAGATTCATGTTAAAAGGTCAGCACTGTTCGAAGAATTCAAGATGAATGAGTTTTAAACCAAAGGTTTTTTGTTTGCTTTTTCATTTTTTAACAGCTATAAACCGCCAGTGATGAAATATTTCAACAGTCAGTGTTTTTAATCGTGCATTAGTGTTAAAAACAATTTGTCTTGAATGATTAGGGATTCATTAGTGAGCTTCGAAACAGCACTCTGGTAGGGCTTCCCAAATCACTACAACCAGTTTTCACTTTTGGGATGACAAATGCTACTCACATTCGTCTGAATCAAGATGTTTGATTTAAAACGAGACCGCAGCAACTGTTTGTTGTTTTTCTGTTTGTTGTTTTTAGTTTTGCTTTGCATAAGACTTCCCCTCATCTTCTTCCACAATTACGTAGACACACACGTACACAGACAAACAGGTTTGTGTTGTTCTTGTTGTTTCTTTGTGGTGGTTTTGGAGGTTTCCAGAAGCTGCGTATCCAGTTGCTTAACTGAAACTCTGCCACTTCCTTTTCCAAACACCGCTGTGTGTTTTATGTGCTGTAAAAATGAAATGTGTCTGCGTTTAACAAGAAAGACGAGAAACACTGAAGCCACTTCAACCACTTGAACAGTGTCTAGAGAAGGGATGTCAAACTCATTTTACACAATCGGCCACATACAGCCCACGTTGATCTTAAATGTTTTTTAGGGTTTTTTAGGTTTTTTTTACCATGGACTTGTTAGTATCTGAAAAACAGTAACTTT